TATTTGAAATGCTTGGAACCAGAAATATTTTCAATTTTATATTTTTTTTCAGATTTCATATTTGCATATATATATAAAATGTGATATCTTGGGGATAAGACCCAAGTATAAGCAGGTGATTCATTTATGTTTTCATATACACCTATTACAAATAGCTTAAATGTAATTTTATATGGTATTTTTAACAATTTTGTGTATGAAAGATATGTGGTGTGGAATTCTCTACATGTGGCACCCTGTTGGCACTCACAAAGATTCATATTTTGGAGCACTTTAGATTAAGAAAGCTCAACTTTGTATCTCTTCCTTAAATATTTCATAGACACCATTAAGGACTAGAAGCAATACTATTCCCAGTCCTGTGTACTTCTAGCATTATTCTCTTTAATCCTTTCAATTGTTTCTCACCTAGCCTCAGTAATTCCCATTCATCCTTACACTGGAGATACCAGGGAAATCTCCTAAGTTGCCTCTCTGTGCATCTCTCTCCTATGTCAAGTAAAAGTATTTTACCCTGTGCAAATTCCACCTGCCTCATTCCTTCTGAATTCTCATCTCTGCCTAATTCAGAAAGTTGGCCTCTGCCTGAGAATCAAATTCCTACCATGCAATGAGTAGGAACAACCACAGTGCTCACTGTCACTGATGCGTATTGTAGAAGAAAAGATATTTGGCCTTGTCATTGGTTCCAGGCACAAAACTCTAAAATTAGCCTTGGAATTTCCTGAGTGAGAAGGATAATAATGGTACCATTTTTTGTTTTAATGAGGCAACTCTTGTCTACGGCTATACCACCTTGATCATACCCAGTCTCATCTAATAAGGCAACTCTTGGCAGCCTCTTGGCAGCTTTAGGATGGGGGCTGGTCACCAGAAACACCACACCTGGATTACAGGCTTGGAAGTTTCCACCCAGTTCCTCAAAGAGAGGGACTAGAGACTAAGCTCATCACTAAGGGCTAAAGATTTAACTCTTTCAAGGCGAGACTGTAACTCATATGTCTCACTGGCAGGAAGCCCTGAACCACCACCAGTACAAGTACAAGTGTGCTATTAGACAGAATGGGACAGTTTCATGGGGTGGTTCAAACCAGCAGGAACAAATCAATTGGTACCTATATAAAATCTCCATAACAACCCCAAATGATATGATTTGGAGGACTGTTGTTGTTGAACACATCAAGGTGCTGGGAGGGAGTGTACTCAGGGAGGGCACAGGTACTCCACACCAATTCCAGCTCTACCTCCCAGCCTTCCCTATTGGCTATTTCTGAGTTGTATCCTTTACAATAAACTAATATCTAATAATCTATAATAAACTAATATTATAATAAACTAATAAAGGTAAGGAAAATGTCTTCCTGAGTTCTGCTAGTCATTTCAGAAAATTATCAAACACAAGGACGGAGGCAAGAAGGCAGGTCATGGTAACTCCTAATTTATAGCTAATCCAGGTGGCCAGAGACTTACAGCTGGCACCTGAAGTTAAGGCAGTCTGTGGAACTGAGTCCCTTCAAGTTTTCGAATCTGATGTTAACTCCAGGTAAACAGTGTGAGAATTAAAATGAATTGTTGGGTATCCAGTTAATATCCAGGGAAGGGGAAAAGTAATGTTGGAAAAAACATCAGCTAGGGTTAAATGTAGGGAAAAAACCCCATTATATATTTCTCATGCGGTCACTCTTGGGCAGGGAATATAGCTTACCAGCATGCACAAGGCCCTAGGTTCCATCCCCAGACTCCCAGCACCAATGGGAAAAGAAAGAGAGATCACTGTCCACCCTTTGAGGAAAGACCAGTACTTCATATATTTTGTCCATTTCTAGGCAGTTTCACTGTACTGGTCCTTGACACTCCAACTTAACCAAAAATGGAACTCTTCAAATCTGAGTTGTCTTCAACATGACCACATGACTATTTTAGGTTTCCTGTGACCCTCACCAGTAAGGGGCTTGGAGTAAAGTCATTTGACTCCTTGTCTGAATGACTCACAAGTCCCAAAGCAAACACTTCACCTTGATGTCACCAGTCCCCCACACAGACACACTCAGGAAGTTCTGCTGGATGAACTACTACATACACAGTTGCAACCCTGGTTCAAAATCTAACATCCTCTAAGAACACAGGTCCCCAATACCTTTCTTAAAAGCCAGGCTCAAGACTGCACTGAAACTTCTGAATAAACCTAAATTCTTGACTAGCCCAATGTTGGAGAACATGTGACCCCTCTCAGGACAGTTAAAAAGAGAGCCCAAACAGAAGCCCAAAATAAGAAGTGCTTTGACCAGGGGACAAACCCAGAGAAGGAGCAATTAGAGTAGCTTGTGGTTTCACTTACTCCTTTGTCTGACTGTTCTCTTAGAAGCAAAGTATTTTTCCAGTTGGTACAGGGACTTTTCTGGGCAACTCTTGGATACACGGGAGATGCATATGAGGGCATGTAAGTATCGACTTCATTTTGGGCAATTCCTTTTCACTTATTTTAAAATTTCTTTAGCAACAAGAATGCTTGGGAACAAACTTTTTATTTTGGTTTTGGTTTTGAGATGGGGTCTCATTACGTTGCCTAGGCTGGTCTCAAACTTGTGAACTCACAACTTGTGAGCCTTCCATCTCAGCCTCCTGAGCAGCTCAGATTAAAAGTGTGCACGACTGGGCCCAGCACATGCTTTATCATGTTTTTGTCTTTAATGACAGACAGGAGAAAACTGACTCTGGTTATATCCTGCTCACTCTAGTCATAATACTATCTGGATACCAAAACAAAAAGAAGAAGAAGAAGCTGCTGCAGCCAGGCATGGTGGTACTCACCTGCAATCCCAGCACTTGGGAGGCTGAGACAGGAGGATCACTGTGAGTTCAAGACCAGCCTGGGCTACAAAGTGAGCTCAAGGCCAGTCTGAACAGCATAGTCAGATCCTGTCTCAAAAAGACAAAAAAAAAAAGATACATGAAGTGTAGAAAATGAAGTCCTGCCTTACCCTTGATTTCACTTTTGGTGTTTTACTCACCGTGGGTGAACCAGTCACGGTTAATACAGAAAAGTTAAGATATGAGATAGTGTGAGCACACATTCACAGAATACAGAACAGTGCTGTAATTGCTATATTTGTATTATGAGTTACTACTAGTAATCTCTTGCTGTGCCTTACACATGAGACTATCACAGGCATGTATGTGTGTTTCAAGAGAAAACAGCCTATCCAGGGACTGGACCATCCAGATCCAGGCACCCACTAGGTGTCTGGGAATTTATCCCGAGCATAAGAGGCAACTACTGTAAACCAATTCCTAGACATACTGTACAGGATTTTCCTAAGTTAGCTGAGACCAATTCTAAAGGTCAAATAGAGACAAAAACACTTTCGTTCTGAGTCCTAAGGCACCACGTAGCTCCTTGCACCACCTCTGAAACTTCCCCAGCAATATCAGGACTTACAAAAAGAAACTAAAAGGACAGAGGAACAAATTGCCCTGCAGTTAAGAGATTAGTCAAGCATTCTAGGCCTATCTCTGAAGGACACTGAGTGGCAGCTTTAAAGCTCTGGTGGGTGCGTTAAAGAGCAAGAAAAGGCTGACAGGTACCACATTTCCCTTCAGTGAAGAAGTCTCACCAGAGCCCCACCCACCAGAGCTCAGACAGTTACTGCACACATACCTTCACTGGAGCGACAGCTCCTCACCCAGCACTCACACCACTTTCCTGCTTAGGGTTCATCTGCTGCACTGCGCACAGGACTAAATACAAGCCATGTCTACAGTATACAAACCACTTCCGGATCTGAAACCTACATGCCAAAAGAACTATTTTTTCCTAATTTCATATGTTCTTTCTTAGCTTCCCCAAAATATGTCTCTAGTAGTCACCTACACTCCTTACTGTAGGACCCTCCAAGAATACAACTTGTCCCTGTGCTTCAAGCTCCCAGAATTCCACCACAAGCCCGTGGACCAGTCCTCTGCAGAACACAAGTATGTGCCACCTTCTTTCATTCCTTTTTGTTTTGCACATCTTGAAAGAATATTTACGTCTATTTTCACTGTCTCTCCTCCTTATCCCCACTCACCCCTCAGCTCTCAGGCTCTTGGTTCTAAACCTAGCATGCGGTAGAGACGGCGGTGCCTAAATGCGGCACCCTGTCTCTCACATCCATTCACCTGTGTGCTTTGTGGTCCCAAATCTCACACCCTTTTCTCACTCTTCTTGGCTTGGCTTATCTCTATGTTATTTTTTTCTACTTTTCTCTTGAAAACTAAAAATACAGAGAGACACAAAAATGCAAAACAAAAAACAAATACATTGCTGTGAATCAACAATGCTAGCAATGTCACCTTTGCTTTAAGTCTTTATTTAATAAAAGAACAAAACTGGATAAAGATGAAAACCCCTGTAATTTCTGCGAGGCATCCACTCTCGTTCTTTCTCCTGCCCATAGGCAAGCACTTACCAAGGGCACTGCACCCTTTCGGTTCACCTCTTTTACTTGCAGAAGGATTCCTAAGCAATGAAAATCATTTTGTACTTCTTCACAAATAGCTTAACACAACAACTTCATACAATAACTTAGCAACTTTCCTTCATTTGGCAAGATTTACCCACAGTGACATTCAGCAGGCCTGCCAATCTGACTCAGCTTGCAGCACTGATCTAATGGCTGACCTCTGCCTGTGCCAGGTGTCCTGTATGTATCACATCTCTTAATTCTCTGAACTACCCTACATGCGCGTCCGATTGCTGTCCCCATGTTAGAGACAAGGAAATAGGTGGGAGCACATGCTGGAGCCTCTCGAATCCACGTTTTTATCTACTGAGCTAAATGTCACTTGACTTGGAAGGGAAAAAAATGAGATCAGAAAGATGGGATGGTGTAAGCTTGTAATGAGAGCTGAACACTCAGGTCAGGAATGCTGCTTACCCTATTACAGGGTATTATACCAGTATCACTAGTTCCCAATCAACACCCACCAGAGCACATGAGGAACAGGGAAATGACACTTACAGTCATGAACCTTATAGCAGTGGTTCTGCAGGCGCTTGACGTCCCATTCTTCCAGCACCCCGTGAGTCATCAGCAGCTGCAGGAAGCGCCGGTGGACGTCGGTCATGGCGCCTGTTCTTCTGGCACTGCCCTGCATGTGTACAGGAGCTGAAAGAGGTAAATAATATCTAGTCACCTACGGGCACACAAGAGCAATGCTCTAGGTTTTGTATTAATTTATGTCAACAAAGATAAATTTATCGTGGTTTTCAGAATTATGTTGCTGCTGGTGATTACTACAAAGGTGAAAAGAATACGAGCCAAGAGTTGGGCACACTGGTGTTGGGAAGAAGGGAGAAGCAGAGATTTCAGAGTCAGAGAACACTGAGGAGCACAGCCTGGCTCCACCACTTACTAGATGTGTGAACTGGGCAACTGAAGTCTCCACATGCTTTAGTTTTGTTCTCTAAAATAGGAACAGTATAAAAAGGTCCTCCAAAGAATTGTTATAAGGACTATGTGAGTAAATATATGCCAGAGTCTTTTCAGTACCAGTAAACACTAAACAAGTGCTAGCTATTTTTATCACTCAATAATTCTGAGTCTGAACTTTGGCTCAGTCACTTACCAGACCTTGAAGAAATTTAGCTGAGGCTGCATTTTCTACCTATAAAATTATAACAAACATTCATTGCTTAGAAAGCTGCTAGTAAACAATAAATGTTAGTCTCCTTTTCTTCTCTCCCAACCTCTAATAAATCAACTGTCGCAGTAGGACTGCGAGTTATTTTGAAAATCTCCTGCTCTCTAATAAAATGGCATCTTTCCACAAACCACAAAGATCAGAGCTGATAAATGTACAATACGAGTGCTGATCAAAACACCTGCTCCTGTCATTCGAGCGGCAGCTCAGCGCAGGGCCCGAGAGTGTGGGTTTGAAACTAGACAGGGGCCAGTGTTTGCCAGACCTGCCTGATCTCAAGAATCACCTGTCTTGCATTTTAATAATAGATTCCTGAGCCCCTTTCAGGGGGGTTCTGACTGAGGGGCTTGGATTCTGAGGTGTGAACATTCACTTTAGGAGATGCCACAGTCTAACGAGCAATTTGTTGTTATTATAGGCAAAGGAAGCATAGAGCCATTTTAGCTAACATGTGCTGTCTCCCTAAGGCTCACTTGCCTACAAAGCAGGGAAAATAATATACGTATCTCTTAACAGCATAAAATAAAGCATAAACACTTGCCAACAGCCTGGTGCACACAGGAGATACAAAATGCTTGTTACTGCCCTCTCCGTCTCTTTGAGACAGGGTCAAGCTGGCCTGGAACTCACTATGTAGCTCAGGTTGGCCTCAAACTCACAGCAATCCTCCTGCATCCTGCCTCAGCCTCCCAAGTGCTGGGATTACAGGCGTGTACCACCATGCCCAGCTACTGTTCTCTTTTTTAACGGCACCATTAACTGGACCACTGAGCTCAGAAGCTGCATGATAACTAGTTTCTCTCTCAGCCTGCTGGGTACCCTGAAGAAATCTCACCAGCATCTGTACCTCAACAAATCCTAACTTAGTTTACACTCAGCCTCTCCTCATCCTCGATCCTTTCACTGTGTCCTTCTCTTTGTCAATCATCAGGTCACACAGATACGTAACCCACACATCTGCACGCCAAACCCTGATCCTCTGCTCCCTCAGCCTCAGTGCCAGCCAGTTGTCAGGTTTATTTCCTATCAACAGGGTCAGATGCCTTGACTCGTTTGTTCCACTTTTATGTACTGAGCACCTGTGATTTGCCAGTGGATATGGGGACAGAATGTACCAAGTTAAGGAGTTCAGACTTCTATCCTAGAAACCTTGGAACTAAAGCTCTCCAAATTAAGGGTCTTAAAGCAGGAAGATGCTATTAGTCTGGGTATGTTTTAGAAAGATATTGTCTTGGCACTATGGAGAAGCATTAGAGCAGAAAAGAAATGGGAGGCCAAGAGTCCATTAAGCAGCTTTTAAATCTCAGATCCAGCCTAAGGGCACCAGAGTTTCACTGAGGTTTGACCATGGGGAAAAATATTAAAAGCTATGACTATCCCATCAAATCCCAAAGGGGAAAACTGTAGTTAGTTTTGTTTCATTTTTTTGTTTTGTTTTGTTTTGCTTTTTAGACAGGGTCATGCTATGTAGTTCAGACTGGCCTTCAATTCACTATGTATCCCAGACAGGCCTCAAACTCTTGGCAGTCCGTCTCCGCCTCTGGTGTGCTGGGACTACAGGCGTGTGCCACTGCACCCACCCACTCAAAGAGTACAAATTTAAAAATGCCTTCCTAGGCCCATGGTGGAAAAGGCTACAATATCGGTGATTAAAAGCAACCAAAGAATAGGCCAGGGCCAGGTATGATAGCACACACTTGTAATTCCAGCACTCACTCTAGGAGACTGAGGTTTGAGGATCATACATTCCAGCCCCATCTGGGTAACAGCGATTTAGACCCTGTCTCAAAATTTAAAAAAAGAAAAAAAATTAAAAAGGGAAACAGATGTAGCTCAATGCTAAGGTCCTCATTTCAACCCCTAGTACCACAAAAACAAAATCAAAACAAAAACAGAGAATAGGTCAATTGACTTTCAAAAAAGCAACTGCTAAGACTGAGAAGTTACTTCAGGCAGAAACCATGGAAACCTGTGACAGTGAGAAAACACTGCCAATGCACCAGCACAGCCTGTTCTCAATCGAGCGATATTTAACTAAAGACTGAGAATGGAATAAAACATCCCCAAACAACAAACACGAGAGATCAAGTAGCCAAGAGATCCTCCCTAAGGAAATTCCAAGGCAAGCGTTTCAGTATAAAAGGGATGTAAGTTGTGAAGTCTACAGTGAAAGGTAAAATGAAGAACCAAGAAGTTGCTGAAAGCATGGTTAAATTCAAGTTGACCTGTGGTGATATAAAACAGTAACATGAGTATCTGTGTGGCTTTTAAAATTAAAATACACATAAAAAATAGCACATACAATGAGAGGTGAGTGCCCTCTAGAATTAGTGTTCTAGTACTCTAGTGATGATTGTGAACAGAATAAAAAGTCCATGAACTTTACACTTTCGTAATTTCTAAAGTAACCACTTGTAATGGTTGAGACACCCTGCCAACTTGAGAAGCTTAGAAGTGTAACTAAGAGACTCGGCAGGGAGCCAGGACCCTTACTTTATAAGATGGCACAGAGATTTTGTGAGTGCTAATCCACCTGGGTGGCAGAAGGTGATCTGTACAGAAGGGAGGGAAGAGGCTTGCTCTTCCCCTCCTTTTGCCCTGGCTGCTTTTGCTGGTTGATGCCCTGAAATGCTGCCTTGGTGCCATGCCACTCTGCCTTGCAGCCAGCCGATTATGGACTGAAACCTCCACAAACTGAGCTAAATAAACCTTCCCTTCCTTAATTTTGGGTGCTGGGTATTTTGTCTCAGCAATGAGAGAAAAGTAACCAAGATATCACTTTTTTAAAAAATAAGAATAGAGTACATAATTCCCAAATTAGTAATGTAATGTGAAGAATAATCCTAAAGAAGACAACAAATGAGGGGGGAAAAGAAAACAGAACAACAGAACTATAAGAAATAAACAGGGTTAGGCTTGGTGGTACATGCTTGTAATCCTGACACCTAGGAGACTGAGGCATGTGGATCTCTACAAGTTCAAGGCCTAGGCTACACAGTGACCTCAAAGCCAGCCTGAACTACACAGCAGACCTAGTCTCAAAAAGAAAGACAGATAGATTATCAATCAGGATAAATAAATATTAGATTAGTGATAAGAGCAAGTAAAAATGAACTAAACGTTCCAATTTAAAAACATGGACTCTTAGGCCAGATTTTTATTTGTCAGATTAATAAAAAATAAAATGTAGCCAGATATTGAGTTACTTCTAAAACATAAGAAGATCAAAAATTCAAAGTAAAAGGACAGCAATATAATTTGCAAATTCATCTGAGCTAATGTGATTTTATTAATATTCAGCAAAATAGGCTTTAAGGCAAAAAAGATTATAAGAGATAAAGAAGATCATCAAAAATGATTAAAAGGTTGAATTCAAAAAAAGACACAACAATTTAAAATGTTTTGGCAGTGGATAACAGAGCCTCAAGACAGCTAAGGCAACATCATCCTAACGACAAAGATAACGTAACTCGACAACCTTAGTGGAGGATTTCAACATACCCTTCTCCATAACTGATAAGTGAACAAAATAGTCATTAAAAGTCAGTAACAGGCAAGAAGCTTTCCCTGATGGATATGCATTAAACACTGTACCCAACAGCTACAGAACAGACTCTTCAAGGATACACAGCAATTATGCCATTGCCAAAACTGGGCCAGTTTAAAGAACAGATTTTATACAGACCAAGTACTTTAACTACAAGAGAAGAAAGCTGGAAACTGGTACCAAAGAGATCACCAGAAAAACTTCACTGGCTTGGAATTTAAGGAATATACTTCTAAATAATTTATTGTCAATGAAAAATTATTAATTCAAATCAAAGCTATTCTGAATGGATCAGTTCAAAAGCATTACACATAAAAACTGGTGGGAAACAAAGCAGCAGTGGGAAATGAATAATCTTATACATTTATGAATCAGGCATCCACTTATAGAAGACATAAAAACAGCAGCACATTAAATCCAGAGTGTCAAAGGAAGAAAATAATGAAGAGCAAAAATCAGTAAAATAGAAAATCTGTACCTAAGGAGATGAACAAACTCAAAACATGGGCTAGGGGTGTGAGCCAGCAGTAGAGAGTTGCTTGTGTTCAAGCGGTCCTGTGTTTAATTCTCAGCACCACACAGACTCAGAGGAGGAAAAAAAAAAGCCAAAATTAAAACAATGAGAGTGAACAAGCTCTGATAAGACTTCCTGAGAGAACATATACAAACAATATTTGAAATAAAAAAGACAAAACTAATTACATGTGACACATTTTTTAAAGAGATCATTAACAATGTACAACAATATGAAAATTTAAATATATGCAAAGTCACAGGAAACTCAGTTGAAACTAATGAAAAAATTACTTGAAAACTCAAGTCCCAGAGCCATTGAAAGCATTTTATGAGAAACTCATCTTCCTGCAAAGAAAACTTTGGGTCCCCATAAAACTTATCAGGAAGTCTTATCAAACATTCTGGAAATAAGTAATTTCAACAGCTATATATGTCATCCCAGAGCCAAGAAAATGACTCAGTCCTTCCCAATCCAACTGATAAGACTGACATAAGGTGGGCACTAAAATTTCCTTTTCTACAAAAGGAAAATCACAAGCAAAATTATATACACAATATCTTTGAGGAAAATAGCTACAAAAGTCCTAAGCAAAATGCTAAACCAAAATCCAGCAATGTACTAAGAATGAAATATCATCACTCAATGAATTTATTTCAACAATGGTTTGACATTTAAAAATCAATCAATGCAAGTCTCCACATTTACAAAGAAAAAAGCATATGATCATCTGAACAGATGCAAAAAAGGATTTGACAAAATTCAATGTTTAGTCAGAGTAAAAACTAATAGGGATTTGGAGGTCGTGCTAAAGACTGAACCTAAGGTCTCACAAATGCTAAGCAAGAAATCTACCACTGAGGTACCCCTTAGCCCAAAGGAAATTCTTTTATCTACTAAATGAGATTTACAAAAAAAAAAAAATCTATAGCAAACATAAAGGTTAAGAACTGAAAACAATCACTTTAAAAACTGACCAGTGCAATTCAAGTTCTTTAAAAGACACAAAAAGTACGAACCACAAAGAAAATACTGGTAAAACTGACTTATAAAATGAAGAAACTCTGTTCAACAAAAGTACCAAAGAGGGAGAGGGAAGGAAGGTAGGCAAATCAAAAGGGAGTCTATAAACCGAAAGATCTAAAACACATATAAGCTACAAAAATATTCATCTTCAGAATAAAGAACTCTTACCGGGATGAAAAGACAGTAATAGCAAGAGGGAAAATGGTCATAAGGATTATTTTAAAGAGAGGGAGAGAATGTACAATACATTTAAAAAGATGCCAAATCTCAATTTTATCAGGCAAAAAGATATTAAAAACCAATGAAATAGTATCTTATCCACCAACAGATAGGCAACAATTTTAAAGAATGAAACATTCCTTCACTGGTCTTTTGCAGGGGGGTGGGCAGTACAAGGGTTTGAACCTGAGGCCTTGTACATGGTAGGCAAGTGCCCTACCACTAAGCTACATTCTCAGCCCAAATCCTTGTAACCACTTCAGATAACCATCTGATCTTACAAGCTAACTAGCATATCCTCGGATCTCCACTGTTAAGTATATACCTCACAGACCTGTCTACGCTTGTCCCAGGAAATATATTTATATGCTCACAAAGTCTGGCAAGAGTATGATAATCAATTGAAGAACAGCTGTATCAGCCAACTATAATCATACCATGGAATTCAAAACAGTAATGAAGATGGAGAGCTAGTCATAGTAACAGATATTTCAAAAAAAAAATATTATATGCAAGAATCAAGCCACATATGTGAACTAGTTCCCCATTTAGATAAAATCCAAAACTCAGCAAAACCATTACTGTATTTATTAGAGAAACATATACACAATAAAAGAAAAACAAGGTACAAAATACTCAGGGTAGTGATTATCTTTGGGAATGGGAAGAAAAGTATTCGGCAGGAGCTTTTGGCAGTATAATAGCCTTTTTCTGAGACTCCCTGTGTAGTTCAGGCCGGCCTGGAACTCACTGGATAGCCTAGGCTGTCCTCAAACTTCCTACCTCAGCCTCCTAAATGCAGGGATTACAGGTATAGTATTTGCTACCACCTCTGACCACATAATAGCCTTTGCCCAAGTTTACATTTCTACAAGCTTTGGGTGGGAACTGGGAGACTGGCACCTGAACCCAGGATCTCACACATGCCAAGCAAGCACCTTAGAACTGAGTTACATGTCCAGCCCCTTTTATTTATTTACTTGAATTTTGAGATAGGGCTCCCTAAATTACCCAGACTGGAATCACTTCCATCTCCTGCCTCAGCCTCCCTCGTTGAGATGACAGCCCTGTGCCACTGTGCCAGCCCCACACACTTCTGTAGGCAGATTATGTATCACAACCAACAAAGAAAAAGATCTGACCCTGACAAGTAACACCAGACACAAATATTAATACGAAGAATAAGGTATAGTACAGGTTCAAATACTACCATTTAGGATCAAGGAAAAGACACATAAATATGCTTATTAAGCACATTACGTCAGCTGTCTCTATGAAGACAGCCTGTGAGCGGTGGATAACCGTTGACATGTACTACCTAGCCAATTTTAAAAATAGAAATGTTTGTGTAGTAAGTGAAGCTGTCTTATCGTTTGATCATATGCTAGACATGGTACTAGTTTCACAGGCAGCCTCATTTATTCCTCACGTGAGCCTTAATTTTACAGACGAGAAAATTCAGGCTAAGAAGATACAGGTGACATTAACGACAGCGATAAGGCTAGCACTCAAAAGCACGGTTCTATTCCTAAGGCACTCCCAGTCCAAGCAAGCAAGAAAAATGAGTGAACAATAAAATTACGATGTGGCTCTCTTATCTCCAATTCTCAAATCCCAACAGTTCGGAAACAAAAACTTCCTTCTTAGATTTGAAAATTTGGCTGACCTAAAGAGGGGATATTTATGGTTTGTTATCCCTCGTGGCAATATGCTTGTGCTTGGCTGTAAAAATACTGGGACTTGGCTCCCGGGGCCTGCTGAGAATATGCCGATGCGGAGGAAGTCTGGATTGACTCGGGGCTTTACAAGGGATGTGGACTTCTACAAAACAAGATCTGTATACAAAACTGGAGCCACAAGGTGGGGGGATGGGGAATGGGGCAGACATCATCTTCCACAAATATCTTCCACAAATAAACTCGCTTGGCGTTGAATCTTGCATTTGGCGGTTTCCACCTATATTAGTACGACTAGAATTTTTTCTCCACTTAGTATTACGATATGTAATTGTGTGTGTGTGTTTTGCTTGACTATGTCCCACTCTACTACTGTCTGCGAACCCTCGCTGGCCTCAGTTTCCCCAACAGCCAAGGAGAAACTCGAGCGCCATCCCCTAGATGCACACCGGTCAGAGCACAAGGAGCCTACTCTCGGCTTCGTTCCCATTGTTTGTTCCGCCCAACCCAGCCCTGCGTCTGCCCCCTCATCTTTTTAGACGTCCCTCTTCCTTCCCTGCCAGCCTCCCGCTCCCAGCCAGGAACTTTACCCACCACAGCACCCAACGCTGCCCAGACTGTGCAGGCGGCTAGGCCGGAAGGCGGACTCAGGTCTCCTTTAGGGCGGGACGAGCGCAATACGACGCTCCTATTCGTGGCTGCCAGCAGACTCCCCGCCCATCGGGTGACGCATTTCCGGTCCTCTCGCCCGCGCGGGTGCCTTGGCCTTTCAGGGGCTGTGGGTTGCGTCCTCGGGCTGAGCCATTTCCGGAGCTACGCAGTTTCCCGCGCGGCTGGAAGTATTTACGGGAATAGGCTTCCCTTCCGCGCTCACTGCATAGATAACCCCGACCGAAAACAAAGAGGAGCGGACATAACCGCTTATGCCTGCCTCCGTGGCCCCCGTTCCGCTGGCGGAAGGTGGTGCCGAGTCCTGGACCTCAGTTTGCTCTTTTGGGAACTGACAGTGCAGTTTCGTGGCCCAGAAAGAAGGCTGTTGTCACACAGCGTGAGCTAGAATTTTAGCTGAGCGTGGGGAAGTCACTGAGCTACTCTCGGCCTCAGTTTCTTTTTCTGTTCCATGCGGGGAATAGTTCCTATTAAAGTATAGGTGAGATTTTTTTAAATGCAAATCACGTGGTTGGCACAGCACTTGAAACCTGTGGCCTGAAAGTGCTGGTTAAGTGTTAGCCGCAGTATTATTTTACTTAGAGAGTGTTGTGAGAAGCAGATAAAGCTACTAATGGAATTGAATGGATTGCTTCGACTCCCTAACGCACTGTGTTAACCCGAGGGCTAGGAATGTAGCCTAGCTGGGAAATGACCATACGAAGATACAGTAAACTCTGCCTGTCTCTGTCTGGGTCGGCCTGTCTGTCTGTGTGTCTCTCTCTGAACCTGTGAAAATCTCTACTTCGCCACTTTTGCTTCCCCTGGGATCTTTGACAACCTCTCAGTCTCTCTGGACTGTTCTCGGCTGCCAGGTGAGGGAAGCCCAGAGAGTAATGGTTATAGCTTGAGCTCTGGAGCTGAATGGTGAGCATTGAATCCTGGTCCTTGAATTCAAAATCTCTGAGCCCCAGAATAGAATATTCGAGTTCTGGGTTCAGTTTGCCCATCTGTAAAGCAGAAATGATAATGGCAACTTGTTGCTAGGGCTGCTATGCAAATAAACCACAAAGCCCTCAGAAGGTACCTGATGCATAGGACTTCTCAGTAAGTGTCAGTTACCTTTGTTAACTGCTGTGGCTTGTGTCTGGATGTTCCCCCAAAGCCTCATGCAGTTCTGGGTGGTATTCTTAAGAGGTGGCTGGATCTAGAGTGTGTGAGGCTGGGATTAAAGGTGTATGATTACTGAATTAGTTTGCTGATTAGGTTTGGCATAGTTCTATGTGAATAATGGGAAGGTCCACCCTAGGTATGAATGCTACCTGCCTACCTAAGGGTGGACAGCCTGGATAGGATGTAACTTACAGAAAGAGGGCCCCTTACTGGTTGCTTACTGCTTTGTTTCTTCACTATACTGCTTCCTGCCCTTCATGAACTCTTTTCCTCTGTGATGCCCCTCTGCCATGCCGCCCTGCCTTGGAGCCAGCCAACTGTGGACTGAAGCTTCCACTGTGAACTAAATAAATCTTTCTTCCTTCAACTTTGGGTGTTGGGTATTTTCTCTCAGCAATGAGAAAAGAAACTAAGACACTAAACAAGAACTTTATAAACTGCCTTAAAGACAGTCAAATCAGAGAAGAAAACAGCCCAATGGAGGAGCATGTATGTTTGGTTTGCCCTACAGTTTTGTAAAAGTTCTTAATTCATTATCACTGTTTAAAGTGGCAGTGTTTCACATTAAACCTTGGGAATGATTGGTTTTTTAAACATAGGGAAATCTGGTGATGGTGGGCTAGCAGTCACTCTTGGGTGGCATTTATTCAGGCCTTGGGAGACACTGTTCCCATGGTAGGGCAGGCAGACATGAGAAGTGACAGTGCTGACAAATGAGAACAAAACTGGGCAAATAAGCAACCAGGGTCTCAGTAAGGTGGACCTGGTTCAGTAGGAACATGCAGTGAGAGGCTGAAGTTGACAATGCACAGTGGTTCACAGAGTGACTGTCCTCCCTCACTATGACTCAACCCTAAATCTTTTGTGAGTTCATTATTAGTTGGGGCTTTGATGTGCCAGGCATCCATATGCAGATATGCAACCATATCTGCTCCTCAAGAAGTCTTGACAATTCAAATGTTCTGAAATTTGATGGTAAGGTACATAAGAGCTACAGGCACACAAGTTTGTTGTTCATAAGGGAAGTGCCCAAGGCCTTGGCTAGACAGAAAGCTTAGGATCAAATAATATGCTAAGGGGGCTGGTCTCTCCCCTGAAAATGATGGAAGCTATCATAGAAGAAGTGATGAGATCGAGCTGATATTTTACAAAAATAAATTTGGTAGATGTTCTTTTCAAACATTCTTGGAACATACACAGTAACTGTGTACAAGGCCACAAAGGAAACTTCAATAAGTTCCAAAGAATCTGTAGACCACATTCACGAACCACAATGTAGTAAAATTAAAAATCAACATGAAGAGAGCCATATAGAAACCCTTACAACACAGAATACATACATCTTAAATTAGTGAGTGAAGTTGCTTCTGAGGAAGGAGTCAGGAAGTCAGAATGAATGTTTTGTTTTACTGTATATATCTACCACTTATGAAAAATAGAATACACATACTTTGAGTTTTATTTCTTAAGCTAAGTGAAGAGTATAGGAGTACAAATGTTTATTAAGTTTTGTAACCTGAAAGTTGAAAGATTGTGTCATTATTAAAAGAATGTACATCTGCAAACTGGAAAATACACGTATTAAAAAGAAAACCTACATGGAAATTACAAAATATTCAGAATAGAATAACAATGAAAGCCTGACACAACCAAAAAACATGCAGAACCAACTGAAACAGTAAGTAGAGGAAAATTTATAGTCTTAAATGCCCCTACTACAGAACAAAACAAAAAAATGTAAAGGAACTAATTGCTCAGCTTAATAGGTAGAAAAATAATAAACTCAGACAAACAGAGAAGAGGAAATAGTCAAAAAGCAGAAATGAGTAAAACAAAACAGCAGTTGATTATGGAAACCAAAAGTTAGTGTCCTGTTAAAAAGCCAATAGTGTAGAAAAAGTGGTAAGAATTAATAAGAAAATGGCACAAATAATATTATACATAGAGAAAAGTTTTAGAAAACATGAGTATGCTATGAGCAACTTTCTTCTAATCCATTTGAAAAATTGAAGTGATTTTTGACAAAAATACAAAATTACAAAACTTGGCCCAAGAAGAAAATAATTATTAATGAAATTATAATTTAGGATCTATTCTGACTCCCCAAATGCTCAAGCTAAGTTTTATGAGAGTGAATCACAAAGAAAGAAGAAATGCTATATTATGCAAACTGCTCTGCAATATGAAGACGAAGTTATCCAACACATTCTGTGAGATTAGTCTAATCTCGACGCCAAAAGGAAAATAACAAAATTAAAGAAAATGTGAGGCCCACATACGTTACAAATGTACGCAAAAGCTGGGCTTACTAGCATAGCAAAGAATACCTTTTCTAGAAAAAAATTTCAAATGGCTAAAGAGAGTACAAGCTAGGTGCAGAGTACAGCAGTGGGTACACAAATGTTCATTAACCTTTGTAACCTTTCTGAATGTTGAAAGATGCTTGACCTTGATTTTGGTTGGAAATAAAAGCAAGAAAAAGATGCCAACCTCCCCCCCCCATAAGAATGACAAAACGCTGCCAATAAGGAGAGACCAATGTTCTCATACATACATGGTGGGGTTGCAAATGTTACAGCCTCCCTGGAGGGCAATTTGATGTTACTGAAATTGAAAAGCTCATCAAGCAGTTCCATTTCTAGGAATTTAACTCAAGAAAATTTTGTGTGCATGAAGTTTGTTGTGACAGTGTTAGCAATAGAGAAGAAATGAACTGTCGCACATACCCATTAATAGGAAAATGAAAAAGTAAAAAATTCATGCATGATAGACAATTATGTAATATCAGAAGAAATGAATAAGCATCTACATGCAAGAATACTGAAAAAGAAGAAAAAGCAAGATATAAAAATGATAAGCAAGGTTACCATTTAAGCACATTTGGCGAAATACAAAATAGCAATATTATATATTTCCATTTGATAAGTATATATGTGTAATTATTTTTTGTTTGTTTGCTTGTTTTTTTGTGTGTGTTAGGTTGTTTTGTTTTGTATTGGGGATTGGACACATGACCTTGTGCTTACCAAACAAGTGCTTGAGCTGCTGAGCTAAGTCCCTGGCAATTATTGTATTTTTAAGGATTGAAAAGATTGTTATAAAATCCCAATGAAAAGACATCTAGAAAGAAGAAAGAGGGATTGAGACAGATATGGAAAGAAGTTTTGAGGTTTATCTATAATTTCTAGTTTTATATTAAAACAATCAAACTAGATATTCATATAATATATATGTAATTTTTCAAAAATTGATCCATAAAGAGGATGGAGGCAAATATGCCAAAGTGTTAATGGGCTGATGTTGCACAGTGGAAAAATTCACATCTTTTTTTTTTCACTTGTACTTTTCTATATTTTCTTGTAACTTCTAAGAAGAGTGAGAATATGAGAAGCCTATTTCTTCTCTCTTTCAGTGCACAGCAATAAATAAAGAAGAAAATGGGAAGAGGAAGACTAGAAACCAGATCTTGCCTCAACCCCAGGTTACACCCCGTTCCTGACAGTACTCATTAGCATCTGCATCCCACATACTTTTAGTTAGATCCAGTGGAAGCAATGGGGAAAGAGAAAAGGATCTACTCTACTCTACCATGCTCCCCGGTAGAATGAGCAGCCCCAGAAACAGAACAGGTTTTAAGAACACTGGAACTAGACACGGTCAGACAGCAGTGACACACAGAAATAAGGGGATGTCCAGAGACTGCTTGATAGGTGGCTAGTTGAGTCAGCTGGCCTCCTGTGAGTGGCTGGAGCTGAGTTCTTGCAACCCACCAAGATGCAGTGGCCACCAAAGAGCCACCAATAGCACCCCAAGGTGTAGCTGTGGTTCATCATGTAAGGACTGAACCATGCAGGCTTCCTCAGGCTTAAACTTACTTTGACATCTTGGAGGAGTGGTGACAGTTGCCCAAGGTCAGCTTTG